ATTCCCGATTGTTTCACTTCTGGCCGGGTCCTGGGCGGTTTGTTGGCTTAACTGCGCAAATGTGCAGTTTTCGAAAATTTATTGAACAAACAATGACTCAATGAACCTTTTATCGCACCTCGTAATCACACTGCCCTGGTCTGGCTGCGGTCAAGAGCGAGAATAACATAGCCGTTGCCATGGAAACTAGTCTGTTCTTGTCGCACACTCCCGATGTACCAGGCGCTATTGAAAAGAACAGCTAGTTTTTGAGTGCGTTTTCAGAGGTGTTTTGGGTGCGCAGCACTCTGAAGATGGCACACCAATCGTGCTAGCGAAACGTTGTAAAAAATCCACTTAAAGGGGCGAGAAACTCACATTTTGATAGAATATCCTTTAAGAATAATCGGCCGAGACAATGGCCAGGATTAATGGTGGGTCTTTCACGTGATAGACGGTTGAAACGTGACCTAACGTAAACCCGCCGGCTGATAGGCCGAATTGTTCCCAGAGGAAAGTGATCTGAGATCAAAATCTCTCACTAATCGTGTATGGAGATTGAAGGCGAATTTCCCACAAACACCCAAGACACTTTTCGTGAATCGTCGGCGAAATGTTCCATTTCCCCCGCTAAAAATGCGGCAATCAACATGATCCATTGGAACTTGAGCAACAAAAATTTTTATTATTCACGAATCGACTGCCATATGTCGATTGGCCTGAGGGCGCCGCCATTATTGCCGAGCCTTGCCCAAGGCTCGGATCCCAGTTTATTATTTATAAATCGGAATGAAGGCCATGAGAGAGGCCGCCCCGGGGCCTTAGCAGGACAGAGAAGGATGATGATGATCGAATCCGTTTGGCATGTTTTGTTGCATTGCGAGGAAAAACTGCAACTGCTTCGACCAATCAACATCGCTAAATTGGGCAATGGAAACCGTGAGTTCCGGTGGAAAGTTAACTATTGCTGCGCTGTCTTATCCATCTTATCCAGAACTCCAAGTCTGAGACTGGAAGTTTAATAGCCGAACCCGCCAATCATTCGCTACATCGATTCTCGTCATCTTTTAAATTGGCCTCTGCACCGGAACGTCCGACTGCTGTTGAAGCTCCAAGATGTTCAAATGTTGGCTTTGCATTTGAGCGAGTGAGAGGAGGACTTGAGGTTCTTTTAATCAAAGGATTTGCATTTACACAATTTGTATGTTCAAATGTGCGTCTTCTGGCTTCCTCTTTGTGGAATTTTCAGTAAAGTCGGATTTTTTGGCTCAAAATGGAGCTTTGGACGTAACCCAGCACCCTCTTGGACAATGACCGCCCAAAAATGACTTCTTCGGAGCCAAAAAGTTTAATAAGAGTCTCATTTCCAATGAGAGTTTCCCATGAAAATTGTGAATCGTTCAAGAGCACTTTACATAGAAGCTGTCTAAGAAGCTGTGAAGCAAGGGCGGAAACTTCGAAAAAAGCAGCGTCATGTTCAAGTGGATTTTGCACATTTTGAACGTCACAAACGTCAAACAGTTCCGTCTTAGTCGGAAAGCACGGGAGATCACTTCGCCCACTGCCTCATCGCCTCTGATGATGTCCACCGCGGTTGTGGCCGAAACGTCAGGAAGAAATTCCCCCAAATGGACCACGGCTTCAAAGCCCCGAAAACATTTCTAAATGTGTCTAAGAAGCTCCCTAGTCGCCCCAAGCCCTCAAGAAACGAACAAATTTCAGTAAGAACTGATCGATTAAGCCCAAACCCATCGTTATTGATCCATTTCTTCTGATCAAATCTCACAGCAAAAATGCAGCAATTTGCTCACAAGTAGGGCATTTACCTTTCGAGAAACGATGGCTGGTTTGGACGTCTCACATGCAAAGCGAGCAGTAAAACAAACAAAGGTGTCGTTTCGTTTGAGAAGGGCAATAACGGCCCAGGTAAATGGCTTAAACAAAGCCAAGTCCCATAAATCGAGCTTTATTAGTTTGTTATGACTGTAGAGGTGAACGCGCCCTGGTTGCACGGAAAAGTAGGTAAATCCCGCTCTTGGGCGGTCAGAAGAATCGCATCCAGGTAGAGGAACAGTGGAAAACGCCTGGAAACCAGTGAAATGTAAGTGGCAGGTGAGATGGTGTCAGAGGCGCCATCTAGGGGCCTACTCTCGCAAATGTTCCCTAACTCGCTTAATAGGGATTTTTGAGGAAAACTCAAAGGAAGGTTTTTTGTGGATGATTTTCCCCTTAATTTAGGCATTTGCTTAAAATTTGGGGTTCCGTTTAGTTTGGCAGATATGAGTGATTTTGTTGGAAGTATCCGCAAAGTCCCCCTAAATCCCAGAATGCTATAATGCAACTTCCCAGAATGCTATAATTTTTGCACGAAAATCTGGGAAAATGGGAAAACTTCGCAATTTTTCTCCAAAAATCAAATTTTTCAATTTAGTTTCCAACCAAACTGGTTCAGGAAAACATGGCGGGACTTAAAAATTCATAACTCCCGAACCAGAAGCCCGGTAAAAATGTACTGAACAGCGTTGGAAAGATAATATTTCGCCCAACAGCACTGTCAAATTTCGTGAAAATCCCCAAATTGCCCGAATTTTGCCAAATTTTTCAATTTAGG